TGACTGTGCGTTTTTTTCCCAGCTCCCAGCTATTATACATATGGACAAAATTTATCAAAGTTTTATTTTGGATTAATATTTATATGTTCCGAAAGGCACCTGCTATGTATAAACTATAGGGGTTAATAGGATGAGGTGAAGAGTTTCGCATATAGCGCATCGGCCTGGCAGCTTTTTTTATTGCCCCTGTAGGCAGACCAGCATACGGCTCACCTGATTATGAGTGGTTACCGTCGCCCATGGATTTCAGCAATGCCAAGGGCAGAGCCAAGCCGCTACCTACCGTGAGACGAGCATACGGCCCACCACAAGGGAGGACAGGAGCCAAAAACTCGCATCGTGCTAATGTTATACATTGATTCCGCGGTAGACACTTCGAAGCACTGCTCCTGTAAGGGCTAGTGTTAGCAAATTCTCTCAGACATAGTCCGTGAGCTCATCTACCCGTACGCGTAGTTGGAATAACCTCTTAGGCTGCCAACGAATAGATAGAAAAAAAAAACCATTGATTTTGTCCGATTTCGAAAAGGAGGTTCAGGATTCAGCTTTAGTCATTTTAATGGATTTATTATCTGAAATAAAGAATTTAATAATTTAATAATTTTCAGTTCAAAAAAAAAAGGGAAATATTTTTGTCCTTTTTTTTTATTTTTTTTTTATTTTTTTATGATTGAAACTTTACTGGTGGCCCGAAGGCTTTTCCAGTTTCACCAGGACAGGTGGGCGAGCAAAGGCTCAGCCAAGAGGGGTGGGATTTGCTAACAACTGCCCGAGCGCCTCCGAAGGAGACCTAACAACTCAAGAGCAATTGTTTCGCGAATGAATCTACTACCGGATCGGAATCGCGNTGGCGTCGCCCAAAGCGTTAACGCGCTCAAAGTTGATCGACTGAAAGAAGTCGATCGCTAAAGCGAGATTTTCAGACGCGGTCGGAGGGCAAGTCGCGGGAGAGGGACGAGTCGCGGGGGCGGGACGAATCGCGGAGGAGGGAGTTGTAGCCGTGTTCGTGTACGGCAGCGGTTTTGCCCAGGCCGAGACACTGGGCACCGCCGCCAGAACGAACGCTGGCTTAGCCTGCGACGCAGAGGGTGCCGAGGCTTTGATGTCTGGGATATTTTTGTCCATGAAATAAGCGACATTTGTTTTTTAGCGCATTTATTTGATGTTTCTCAAATCGGTTTATTTACTAACATAACCTTATGTTCATATTGGGGGGTCCAATTATATAGACTACCATTTTTGTGTTCAACATTTGTTATGTATGCGGAGAGCCAACGAAGATTTCAAATCATTCAATCAATTCGATCAAAGCTTAGATTATTTTTATCGTTGAGCCACTGTACTAAATAGATAGAGATAACCACTATTATGTTCAAAATTTATAAAACTTAGAATTAGGATTAGGAAAAGATTAGGATACTTAATTCCGAGCTAATAATATAATAGTGACATATATTACCACTCTGTCAAGAGTTATATCGAAAAAAAAAAAGAATACATACATATACTGCATATAACATATGCAGGGACATTTTTATTTTTTATTTATTGCTTAGATGTGTGGACGAGCTCACAGCCCACCTGGTGTTAAGTGTTTACTGGAGCCCATAGACATCTACAACGTAAATGCGCCACCCACCTTGAGACAAGTTCTAAGGTCTCAGTATAGTTACAACGGCTGCCCCACCCTTCAAACCGAAACGCATTACTGCTTCACGGCTGAAATAGGCAGGGTGGTGGTACCTACCCGCGCGGACTCACAAGAGGTCCTACCACCAGAAAGTCTGTATGCTGCATATATAAATACATAGCGGTATACTGCATACATAGAGGTAGATACGACGTCAGCCCCTTCTCGAATGTCAAGTAAAAACTAACGCATCATTCTCGTGTTCAGGTAACGCTTTATCATCATTGCATTCCATGTTTACAGCAAAAATTACGTAGCGCAATTAATTAATTATTACGGGCAGAATTATAATGCTTATCTGAGTATTAGTTTTGTTTGCGTTCAGAATAGCGTAATTCGTCTTATCTTCATATCACGTGTGAATCTTACGTCGCACTAGGAAATATCTGCCTAGATTTGACTGTCTTTCAATTCGTTACGAATATATGTGTGCAGCTGCGCGCTCTGTTGTGGCACTTTTGTTTTTATTGCTTACATGCGTAGACGAGCTCACAGCCCACCCGGTGTTAAGTGGTTACTGGAGCCCATAGACATCTACAACGTAAATGCGCCACCCACCTTGAAATTTAAGATTTAAGTTCTAAAATCTCAGTATAACGGCTGCTTGCCACCCTTCAAACCGAAACGCATTACTGCTTCACGGCGGAAACAGGCAGGGCGGCGGTACCCACCCGCGCGGACTCACAAGAGGTCCTACCACCAGTAAACTTTGACCAGAGGAAGGGTATTAATTTAAAAGGTTTATGGCAGTTGCCATCTCAGAATGTAAGATGTTGGACAAAAGCTCGAATCTCGCTAACGAAATTTTCAAAATAAACATTGACATTGACATTTTTTGGTACTTTTTTTTCCTACCTAGGCTGATGGTCTAGAGAGACCATATCAGCGTAACCTTAACCAGTAGGTGAGCTCACGGGGCTCAAATCTAACGGTGTTGCTAACACGAACCCTAGCAAGAGCCGTGTTTCGCAGCATCTAAGTACCACCGGATCGAAAATGCGACCCCACTGAGAAGATCCGGCGAGAAACTCAGTGGGCTGTCTGTGTCTGTGGGTTAATTTACTCGCCAAGCCCTTCATCGCAAGCGACGGGTTCGAAGAGAACGATGATCGGTGCTTGGGGTACCTAAAAGCACCGTTAATGGATCGGGAGGATCCAAAATGACGTGTTTTGGGCGACGTCGACTGTTTACCATTTGGTCCGGAGGATTTTACCATTTAGAGGATCGGCGGCCACGATGAGAGGATTCTCACGTTGTGCCGCTTTAATAGTGAATACGTGAATCCTTGCCATTAACTCCGTGTTCTTCGTCTTCAAGTGCCAACTTTTAACTAATTTCAGCAATCATTGAAACGACTTTTAATACAATTACTCTAAGCGAAACGCGGGTGCATTGACCAAAGCATTGGCGCAAGTTTTTCCGCGCATTTCTTCAAGCGCGTGTATATGTATAAATATATACATATAAAAATGAAACGTAGACGCGAAAACAGAGGATAACGACACAAAGTTACAAATCCTCTTGTAATAATTTATTTATCTAGAAACGACCATGACTTTGCTTGTTTCTGATGACATAACTTACATATTACAATGATTCTTTCATGGTACGTATAGAGCATTTTCGTTGGTTATCTTGCGTAAATATACTTTTATCTTTGAACCCGTCCGGCGACAGACTGACAGAACTGAAAACAAAGTCTTGACAATGAGAGATTTGACATTTGAGTGACATTCAATGGCCCACACGTGCACAGTCGGGGCGATAATGCCGCCGACTCAATGTTCTGTAGGGGAGGTTAAGAGCGAGACACCTTGCACTAACGACAGAGCCCCGGTGTCTTTTTTTTTATTGCCTTTATAGGCAGACAAGCATACGGCCCACCTGATGGTGAGTGGTTACCGTCGCCCATGGACTTCAGCAATGCCAGGGGCAGAGCCAAGCCGCTGCCTACCGCTAAAGGATGGCCTCTCATGAGGATGGCCAGGAGAGTTTGCTCCACGCGGATATCGTCACTTTATTTCCCACCATGTCTAGCTTGAGCTCTGCCATATCCATATAAAGATAGTGTAAAAATTCACAACACAAACTTTATTATCAGCAGGCTTACATTTTATTACGGTTCATGTGTAGGAAAATTCGGATTTCGCATCTTGGAATAAACAGATGAAGTTTCCAGTGAAGCCTATGATGATTGATGTTCTTTTTTTTTAATTGCTTAGATGGGTGGACGAGCTCACGCCCCACCTGATGTTAAGTGGTAACCGGAGCCCATAGACATCTACAACGTAAATGCGCCACCCACCTTGAGACATGAGCTCTAAATATCTTACTTTTAACTATGGCTGTCCCGCCCTTTAAAGTAACCGAAACGCTTTACCGCTTCACAGCAGAAATAGGCAGGGTTGTGGTACCTACCCGTGCGGACTCACAAGAGGTCCTACCACCAGTAATTACGCAAATTATAATTTTGCGGGTTTGATTTTTATTACACGATGTTATTATTCCTTCACCGTGGAAGTCAATCGTGAACATTTGTTAAGTACGTATTTCATTAGAAAATCTCATTCCGTAGCCGGATGGTACGTGGCAAAATAAGACCTGTGGAAACGCTCTGTGGATGACCGCAGTGGCTCCAGGTAGTATGGATGAGCTCTACACTGATGGCGGGAGGTGCGATGGTAAAAACAAGATAGATCATCATATCATCATATCATCTCGAACAATTCCTCAGAGCAGTGTTATACAATAAATTGTGTAGATATTAATTAATTACGTCTTTTACTGGTGGTAGGACCTTTTGTGAGTCCGCGCGGGTAGGTACCACCGCCTTGCCTATTTCTGCCGTGAAGCAGTAATGCGTTTCGGTCTGAAGGGTAGGGCAGCCGTTGTAACTATACTGAGATCTTAGAACTTATATCTCAAGATGGGTGGCGCATTTACGTTGTAGATGTCTATGGGCTCCAGTAACCACTTAACACCAGGTGGGCTGTGAGCTCGTCCATCCATATAAGCAATAAAAAAAAAAATCCTCAGAGCAGTGTTATACAAGAAATTGTGTATTAATTAATTACGTCTTCGATCTCACTAAATAACTGCGATATAACATCACGTGTGACTCGATTGCGGCATAAGCGCTTCAGAACTGCTTAGCTTGCACTAAAAATATCAGGAAAACATAATTGCATTGTTACAAAACCTCATAACGTATACAATTACAACGCTGATCAAACATATCGAATTACAATCGATGTATTCATAATATAAATAAATTCATTTATAATTCACGATCGCACAAGCGTCACGAAAATGATGTTGATTGTTCTATTACTACAAGTTTCACTGGTTAACTGCGTCAATATCACCGAAAACACGTTAAGAATTAAATCTTTGATAATGAAATACAAGAATAATCGCGTTCACAGAAGTCCTATGACATCCTTGGATGGGTTTGTGCAAGATGCCCTAATGTTCTTCGACAGAACTGAAAGGTTTAAGGATGTATTGAATGTGTATAATTATAGTGAGTGCGTTGGAGATGAAGGGTTGATGGAGAAGCATGTTTTGAAAGGTCTTATCATTCACGAGCATTTGCCGCGAAGGCATTGGCACGAGTATAAGGTGAGGAAGCATTTCATGATTTTTTCGCGCTTGAGCTTAATTGGAATATTACAAAGTGAACTCTGCCAGCCGACCAGAGACTCCAAGCCTCAATTTTGTGGTATAAAGTGTCATGCTCTTCAAATCGGAACGCATTCATTGTATATATGAAATACCGTCTTTACCATAAGGGCACACGGGCCCCGTGCCCAGGGCCCCCATTCTCAGGGGGCCCCGAAGGACCGACAATTTCTCTCACACATTACACTTTTTTCACAAATCAGTAATCTTATCAGAAGGTATATGTATTGGAAGGTATAGGTATATCAGAAGGTAAGGTAAGGTAAGGTATTTACAAGGCATATACTACGCCATTATATCGATGACTGCGCCTATTCCTACTGTACTAATTAATAATATTTCCGAACGCATCCTACCTAATTTACTAAGTACATCATCGACTCAAACCAAAAAACCAGCAGCATTCTAATATCATTAATGACATATTATATCATACTGTGTTTGATTACCTATAATAAATGGTCCTACTCAGTAAAAAAAATGTTATTCTAATTTGCTTTTTTTACTTTCCAAAAGGGCCTCAAATTCTTGTGTGCTCAAGGGCCCCAGCCTAATTTAAGACGTCCCTGTATATATGGTCCGTATCAGAGGCACATACTACTACCAGTGTTTGGTCTGGCTTGGGCCAGTTTCTCGTACAATACATTCGTTATATTTTTATATTAATTAATCGTATAATTGTAAGGAACGTTGTGTACAAATTCAGCACTTTGTCTTGTTTTGTCGTGCGCACATAGCTTTTGTTGCAAGCCAGATATTGTTTTTTTTACTTGTGTTTTTTTATGTATTCTTTTTAGCTTGTGATGTGTATTGTGTCATGGACAGAGAAACATTTAAACTGTTTCAAGGCCATGACCACGACCCTCAGTAATGAGGAAACCGACGCAAGGAGGAGTGTATTGTGTGGTACCACCACCCCGGCTATTTCTGCCGTGAAGTAGTAATGCGTTTCGGTTTGAAGGGTGGGGCAGCCGTCGTAACTATACTTGAGACCTTAGAACTCATATTATTATCTCAAGGTGGGTGGCGCATTTACATTGTAAATGTCTATGGGCTCCAGTACTACTTAATACCAGGTGGCCTGTGAGCACGTCAACACATCTAAGCAATAAAAAAATTAAATTGAAAGGAGTAATATCGGTAGAAAGATTTTGGCGAAAATATCATAAAAATCTTTTGTCACATGATCATTTCTCTGCCAACCAAATCAATGCTTGCGATCATTGAAATCCACCAAAACAATAAATATTTACCCAACGTTTTTAATGAACGATATCATTAATATGTACATCAGCCAGTAAACAATATGAAAATATAATCACGTGCAAACATTAGAAATTAGAAGACATTGCCCTATTATCTATCTCTATATCTATCTATTATTTATGATAAGAATATTATCAAAAGATGTTAGAGGGCCATTGCGTATCACAGTATCTTAACATATCGATGTGGGTTTTTATTTTGCTTGTGTTGTTACATCGCGCCTTCGGAATTGAAGTGGCCTAAGCCATAATTCTTGTTTTTTGGTAAACTCCAAAAATGTTAATGAAAAATTGTTATTTTTTTGGTTTTCGATTTTAATACTTTAAGGTATGCTCTTAATTTAAAAGGGATGGAAATAGCACATTTGTCCTTTTCTGGACTAAGCGAGACTACTTTTTCCTACCTATGCTGATAGCTATTTCAGCTTCGCGCTAACGTGTGTAGGTGAGCTCACGGGGCTCAAACCGGAGTGCTGCTTACACTGCCCCTAGCAAGAGCAGTGCTTCGCAGAATCTACCACCGGATCGGAAACGCGACCCACTGAGAAGATCCGGCGAGAAACTCAGTGGGCTGAAAAGAGACTGTTTAATTTTATAAGCTGACTAGCTGTGCCCGCGACTTCGCGTGATATTTAACAAAACATTACTTTATTTGATAACAATTTTAGAATTTTTCTAAAATAGAAGTAGCCTACGTTGCTTCTTATTACATCATCTGCCAGTGACAGTCCGGTCAAAATCAGTCCAGCCATTCCAGAGATTAGCCGGAACAAACAAACAGACAGACAGACATGCAAAAATTGTAAAAATTGTTGTTTTGGTATATGTATCGTATACCTATACATTCATACCCATGTAATAAAAAGCGGTTATTTTAATATTACAAACAGACACTTCAATTTTATTTGTTTGATGATGATATAAAACATGCTTATAAGTCGTTCGAAGTACAAAACTTATTTTATTAAAATTTTTAGTTATGCCACTTCAATTCTAAAGATGTGACGGACATAACCTCTTTGTTTTAATACGGTTATTGGGCATGTGATGTTTGTATTCAATCAATTTTATCAGCATTTAGAGAGTTTTATTTCGTGATATATATTATTATATTTTTTATCAAAACATTAATAGAATACTGCATTCTTTTTTTTTTTTGCTTAGATGGGTGGACGAGCTCACAGCTCACCTGGTGTTAAGTGGTCACTGGAGCCCATGGACATCTACAACGTAAATGCGCCACCCACCTTGAGATATAAGTCTAAGGTCTCAAGTATAGTTACAACGGCTGCCCCACCCTTCAAACCCAAGCGCATTACTGCTTCACGGCAGAAATAGGCGGGGTGGTGGTACCTACCCGCGCGGAGTCACAAGAGGTCCTACCTAAAATAGGATTTTTGGGCGACGTCGGCTGTTTACCATTTGGTCCGCAGGATCGACTATACAGTTTCCGGCGGCCACGATGAGAGGATTCTCGTGTCGTGCCGCTTTATCGAAGTGGACACTGTTTATTGGTGAAGGAACACGACTTTAACGAATTTCGTTTCAAACTCCTTACAAATATCAAGTTCGAAAATGTTACTTCACAATATTGATTGCAATTGGAAGAAAGAGTTTGTCTACTAGAGATGTCTGAGATACTTTTCAGACGAACGTTGAGGTGGAAAAAAAAATTAGAAAGTTCCTGAAAACCAAAAATTTCTGCAGTCCAACGAGCGGAAAAATCTAAAACCCTGTTTACATTTTGAGAACAGCGCCATCTGTAATAAAACATATAAACTATTTTTTTCAGGCGATTCACAATAAATTGTATTCATCTACGCACCACGAGATGGCAGCGCTAATTAAATGGCGGCAGAACTTGAGACGGGTTGCGAGGCACAACAGAGAGTACTTAGCGGGAATACAGTCGTACTCATTACATTTGAATCATTTTGGAGATATGGTAAGTATGAAATATTTTAATCGACCATCGAGTTTGCCGGTCAAAATGACCCTCTTCAAGGCTTACTGCCAAACCTTTTACACAAGCGGTCTTTGGGCTACTCATACCCAAAAAACGGATAATGCCCTGCGCATACAATATAATAATGCATTCAGGGCGTTGTTGAGGCTTCCACCTTATTGTAGTGCATCAGGCATGTTCGCCGATGCGCACACGGATGACTACTTCGCGATAATGCGCAAAAAGGTGGCATCCATTATGTGTAGAGTAGGAGGAAGCACCAACAACGTCTTGAGGGTACTAGCTGAAAGACTGGATGGCCCGACCCTGGGTAGGTTCATCAAGTTGCATGTTCTACATGCTGCTTGATGGGGCTGCCAGGGACGGAGTTAATTGATTTATTTAAATACTAACATAGTTCGTAAGTTATTTGTAATACTAACACAATATGAGACTGATGTCTTGAAATAAAAGTTTTTATTATTATTTATTATTATTAATACTTCTTCTTTTTTTTCACCTTATCAAACTAGGTGGGGGTAGGTTCCATTCTCTTCTAGCAGTCGTCAGCTCAACACTCACTCCTCTCTCTCTCATATAGTCATTCACACACTCTATCCATGTCTTTTTCGGTCGACCTACCCACTTCTACCTTGCACTACCATTTCCATACATCTCCTAGTTACATCACATGTCCATACCACACTAACCGTCCGCTCTTTATTTTTTTATTTTTTATTCAATACTATTTAAATTAAAGTATTAACTTGTATAATTATAAGGGTTTTCTTTCAAGTAGGCTTACATACCAGTCGATCTCATATGGAGGGTGAAAGGCTTTGGTTTAAGAGAGATTTTATTAAATACGTGACTATTATGTATTATATTATATAGCCTTGAGAAATTATCTTACTTTAAATATTTTGAATTTGTTTCTCTTATGTTAGAGAAGCTCGCTGCCTACGACTTCCTATCTGTTGTTAAGTGGTTATTTATTGTAGTACTGCCTGGGCGGAGATCAGACACTGGTGGAAAAGCGACGAAGTTTCGTTATACACCCATATACCCATCCTACAACCACATGGGGTCATGACCCTCGCGTCCTAACTCCGGCCCAACTATACGAAAAGCACAAGTCATCTAATCCCTAAAATTATATTATGAGCCTTAAAACATGAACACTAAGGATTGAACAGAGATAAGTTCACCGCGTATTACGTCATTCGGGGCCAAATCAAGCGACGAGCTACATAAATACAGCTCGATTACCCCTATTCGCCCCTACGATGTCTGACGATGGTGTTAATAATTGTGGCTTCTCCGACAAATAAATAAATAATCATTTGAATATTTCCGTTTTTATTCAGCACGTCACAGAGTACTTCGGGAAAGTTTTGAAGCTGATCAAAGCATTCCCGCTCTTCGATCCAGCTGAAGACCACCACAAGACCGCGTATAGGCATAACAGACGTTGCAAAGTGCCGAAGCGGGTTAGTAAACTTCTTAGTAAGTTAACTAATTCTGAATTAAATTGGTCTAGTCGTCATGGCCTAAAGGATAAGACGTCCGGTGCATTCGTATTGAGCGATGCGAATGTGCCAGTGTTCGAATCCCGCAGGCGCGTACCAATTTTTCTAATGAAATACGTACTTATATTAGCAAATGTTCACGATTGACTTCCACGGTGAAGGAATAATATCGTATCATAAAAATTATAGCTGCAAAATTATAATTTGCGTAATTACTGGTGGTGGGACGTCTTGTGATTCCGCACGGGCGGGACCACCGCCCTGCCTATTTCTGCCGTGAACCAGTAATGCGTTTCAGATTAAAGGGCGGGATAGCCGTTGTGACCTTAGAACTGAGACTTTAGAACCCATATCCCAAGGTGGTATTACAAGGTATTACATATTTATGTATGAGTATATGCAGAATGTATATGCGTAAATTGTATGTAATTTTAATGATGTTATAATATGTAAGAGGCTGGGTTTTGGGAATGCCGCGTGTATTTAACATAAAATATACAATATGTTTTTCAATTATGCATTATAACTAATAATCCTACAACAGGGCTGTATGTACCACTTTTGTTTGAAAAGCTCGAGACATTAAGTCCGCCACTGGATTCTCGTACATAAAGTTAATTAAAACAAATAAACTCAATTGGAGCTAAGCTTTTAAGATGCAGGCGGTTTTAATATTTTTTTTGTATAAATGAGCTCATCTGGTACACCTGCAGCAGAACACCAATAAGTAGTTATAAGAGCCCGTAGACATCGTCACAATCCGCATTGAGGTACGAGGTCGAAGCCTCGACTGTATAACAGCTGTCCCGCCCTCCCAAAAGAACCGCGTTACGGATTCAGGCGAAATGGTGTTGACCGTCTGTACGGGTTTGGAATACGTCCTAATTCTTATTTGTTTTATTACGTATTAAAATATTTGCGAATTCTATTATACTCAACTACGGTCATAAGTGCTTGAAACGTTTAATGTCTTATTTTCTCGCATTGTCGTGGCGTGCAACCTCTTTGACAGGACATAAGACCTGCAACGACTGGACATAGACTAAGACAGAGACTTGACAGGGATTCGAAAAGAAACAAAAGTAAAGAAATGGAACGAGGGCGGACGTGACTGGCGGCAGGCGGTATCTTCAATACCTTCTTAAAAGACGTAAGCGAATCAGACCACAAAGAACGAACCGACGCATAGATAATGATATGCTTAATGTTACGCCGGTAAGAGCAGCGCCATCTATCGCCGAATAGTCGAACGAATATAGAAGGATCTAGTAGCATCTAGAACGCTCGAGAAGTACCAACGCCATCTGTTGTCAGATAGCGGAAACACACATCGTACTTTCGATGTGTGTGTATGTGTGTGTGACTTGTGGAATATTCTCGACGATTCTTAGGATTTCGTCTCGACTATAAAAGCGAACAAATCATCTGAAGCGAAGCGGAGGAAGCGAATTGAAAATTTTAAAGTGTTTGTGAAGTGTTTTAAGTGTTGAATATAGTGTTAACGTGTAATTCGGAAGAAGTTTTTATTTATCCCGAACCCCAGCGCGTAACATTAATATTTAAGAACCGACCGTTCACATACGTACATGGAATAGACGACAAACGAACAAACCGACCGCTCAGGCATACTCACTCAGTTAGCATTATTATGCCTTTTTTTTTTAATGCTGGGGAATCCATTTTAACGCTGGGGAAGCATTATTATGCCTAAATGCCGATCAAAAACACCTCAGTTATTCGTTCCCACGAAAACTGTATAGTTATTCGAAACGTCTGAAATAATGTAACGTCAAAAACGCTAGATTAAACTGTAAAAATTTAAAGTCAATCATAGACATCTACAACGTAAATGCGCCACCCACCCTGAGACACAAGTTCCAAGGTCTCAGTATAGTCACAATGGCTACCCCACCCTTCAAACCGAAACGCATCACTGCTTCACGGCAGAAATAGGCGGGGCGGCGGTACCCACCCGTGCGGACTCACAAGAGGTCCTACCACCAGTGATTACGCAAATTATAATTTTGCGGGTTTGATTTTTATAACACGATGTTATTCCTTTACCGTGGAAGTCAATCGTGAACATTTGTTAAGTACGTTTTCATTAGAAAAATTGGTACCCGCCTGCGGTATTCGAACTCCGGTGCATCGCTCGATACGAATGCACCGGACGTCTTATTCTTTAGGCCACGACGACTTCAAAACTACTGTGCAATTTTACCGACTCGGTGGAAGATCTTCCCTTTGTTTTTACCCCTCCAAAACACTTTCCAACCTGCTTTGTTTGCAGATAGATTGGCGGGACCAAGGTTTCAAGCCGAGACGAGAGGAGCAATGGCAATGTGGTGCTTGTTATGCCTTTGCCGTAACCCATGCTTTGCAGGCTCAGCTATACAAGAGACACGGCGAGTGGAATGAGCTCAGGTATCTTCTCTTTTTTCGAAATGCGCGGTGGTCAGGTCAGTCGTGGTTTTTTTTATATTTTTTTTATTGCCCTTTTAGGCAGACGAGCATACGGCCCACCTGATGTTGAGTGGTTACCGTCGCCCATGGACTTCAGCAATGCCAGGGGCAGAGCCAAGCCGCTGCCTACATTCAGTGGTATCATCAGTATGCACATAGCGTATCTTAGTCGACACTGTTTTTCACTTCAATCTGTAGTTGTACCGGTTCGAGAATTTCAAAGAACACAGGATTGAGTAAATCAATACGGTTGAAGTAAGACAGGTCGTAAAATGTATGCCGAATCTCTATGCAGCATGATAAGAGCACGTGCTGTATCGATCATAGATAATATGGAATGTGGGCACGAAGAACAAGAAGGTTAATATTCAGTAGTAATTGTAGCCCATAGACATAACATCGTCAATGCATCTCCCCATCAGGAGACAATCAGGAGATGGAAGTCTACATTATGACAAATACGATACCAACGGAAAGAGATGGAGTGGACGCCTGAATATGACAATGATAAAAGATGAAATAAAATTATTGATATAGATATTGTATGAGATAGGTATCTGGAATACAGTCTTTGTTAATAACCATTACCAAGTGTTTAACGTTAATAAAACGTTCATAAAATGTAAGACGCTTAGAAAAACAAACAGTTGGTTTTATTTTTATTCATCATCATCATAGACGGTTGCTCTTGGTAGAGCAGTAGTGGTCATGTGGAAATCTTTGTTTATTAAAGCCTTGAAAGATGTTGTCTATAGTTCTCGAATTGAAGCTTGGCGCACGCCTTCGTTAAGTTGGGTTTTGGTAAGGACTAGCCCACTGAGTTTCTCGCCGGATCTTCTCAGTGGGTCGCGTTTCCGATCCGGTGGTAGGTTCTGCGAAGCACTGCTCTTGCCAGGGTCAGTGTTAGCAACTCTCCGGTTGAGCCCCGTGAGCTCACCTACAAACGTTAGGGCGAAGCTAAAATAGCCTCTCAAGGCTATCAGCATAGGTAGGGAAAAAAAAGAGGTAAGGTCTTTCGCTTGATCACTCCAGTGCATGGGGCTTCGTCCACAACATCTTTTACCATTGACCCTACCCCGAACAACAAGTTTCTCGATAAACTTTTATTTTTATTAGTCCTCAACAAATCGTGGACTGCAGCATTAAAGACGGCAATATGGGATGCGACGGAGGATCCTTGAGGGGAGCCCTACGTTATGCAGCCAGAGAGGGCCTGGTTATGGAGTCCCATTATCCGTATGTTGGAAAGGTAAGGTGTTGCTATTGGTCGTATTCTTCACTTTTCCACCATTCTCTGATACAATACAACTTTAATGAGACTCCAATCGCATGTCGTACTTGAGCTCGCATGTCTGTGTCTTATGATTAATGGTCGGTTAAGTCTTTACCAACGATCTGCTAAAAGTGTCGGGAACCGTAATTACTGGTGATAGGACTTCTTGTGCGTCCGCACGGGTAGGTACTGCCACCCTGCCTATTTCTGCCGTGAAGCAGTAATGCGTTTCGGTTTGAAGGGTGGGGCAGCCGTTGTAACTATACTGAGACCTTAGAACTTATATCTCAAGGTGGGTGGCGCATTTACGTTGTAGATGTCTATGGGCTCCAGTAACCACTTAACACCAGCTGGGCTGTGAGCTCGTCCACTCATCTAAGCAATAAAAAAAAAGAACCCGCTGGATGTATACGCGAGATCGATTATTGTGTCGAGCATTGCGGGAGGCTTATGTTCAGCAGTGTAATTGAGTGGGCTGATAAAAAAGTGCTTACCGGAGTTTATAGACATGACAACGTGAATGCCAGCCAGCTTGACATTTGTCAAATGTGAATCAATATCAAGACGAAATATACCTTACTATCAAATTTATGCAAATTACATTCTTCGCATTTGCTTTAGGAAAGAATATACCTTATAGAGGATTTGAACACTGTCGTGATCACATCACTACCCAAAATGCTCTGAAGGAATAACCTAAAACTAAATATCCTTCCCTCCCTAGAATAGAGCAATATGATAGGATTAAAACACACAAGCAGTTTCAAGATTATACTTATACAGCTTTGACTTTTACTTTGTTGATTAGGTACACCATACCCGACTGACCGAGGTAGTTTTCCAAATCTTCTAGACAGAGGTTCTCAACTTCTTTAATCATATTCTCTGTAATTGTGATGACCCAGTAAGCATAGGAATGAACAAACAGTAGATTTTTAAACGCTTAAAATGAAAATGCTTAAAGGGTTCTTCTTTCCAAATACTGCTACAAAAGTTATGGAAGCGGTTTGGAAATGACATTAAAGATTTCCATTGTACAAAATGTCGGTTAATTTTTTGTGCAGCCATACGAACACTAGTTACAACTTCGTTGGATGACTTATTTATTAACTTATGGAAAGTTCTAGTAATCATTTGTCATATTCTTCTAGAAAGGATACTGCAGATACGATAGCAATTTGGTGCGCGCCAGACCGCGGCGTTGGGCCACACTTCCTTCAGGCGATGAAGAAGCAATGGAGAAGGCCTTAGCTACTGTGGGTCCTCTAGCTGTCGCCGTTAACGCTGCCCCATTCACTTTTCAGCTTTACAGGTATGACTGTAGAAATGTTCTAACACTAGTTTGACCATTAAATTTGACAGAGTACATCCTAAAGGTATTTTGTAAATTTCAATAGAGTACACTATGTTTTTATCAGTAAGGTACCTGCCATCTACCCTAAATCTACTTAAAATCTCTGGGAACACGTTGGATCTTGGGTTCGCTCTTTTCGTGTTTCATGGGGTCTTTACTGTGGAATAGCTTTGAGATGTTCCCATCATCTTTTGATTATTATACCATTGCATCATTCGCCATCGGAGGAAAGTTAATTCTTTCTATCCCTGACCACGACGGTGCTCCAGCCACGTGAGGCAGTCCACAAGCATGGACTCGCTGTGGTCTAATCGCAACCGACAGGCTTACCACATTACACGTTTAATTTTTTTAAATCATGTATAGATCATGTCGCGACTTATATTTTGGATAAGTGACCCGCCCTCGCTTCGCTTCGGAAACATTAAATTTTATTATTGATAGCTGAGTCCCGCGATGTTTTCCGCGGTTATTGTCGTACAGCGGGTGACGCCGCGGTGCGAAGCTAGTCTAAAAGAAGTAGCCTAAATTACTCCTTATATCATCAGCACTAGTGAAAGTTGCAGAGCTTAGCCAGAACAAACACACAGACAGACAAAAATTGTAAAAAATGTTATTTTGATGTATGAACCGTATATACGAGTATGTTATTCATCTGCATGTATTAAAAAGCGGTTATTTTAATATTACAAACAGACACTCCAATTTTATTTATATGTATAGATAATAACACGTTTTTCAGAAGCGGCGTTTACGATGACCCCTTTTGCGTGTCGTGGCATCTGAATCATGCTATGTTATTGATCGGATATACTCAAGATTATTGGATACTGCTCAACTGGTGGGGCAGAAATTGGGGTGAAGATGGATACATGAGGTTTATATATGCATATAGTAATATTTCAGTTATCTTTTTTTTTTTATTGCTTTCGATAGGCGGACGAGCTTACGGCTCATCTCATGATGGGAAATGATAACCGTCGCCCATAGACATCCAAACTACATCAGTGACTCAGATGCGCTGCCTATCCTGGCCTGGATGGGCAGCCTTATGTATGTTACACCGGCTATCCTGTCCTTCAGACCGTTTTACTGTTTTGCGGCAGAAATAGACTGGACGGTGGTACCAACCCGGGCGGGCTTCTACACAGAACCCTACCACCAGTTCTTTAAGTGCTTGACTGCTATTAATGGGTACTATGGTATAAACGCACACCGTTCCTAGCAATTAGGATATTTCTGCAATGAAGCGATCGTATGTTTGGATGTGGAATGCAGAAGTGTAATTTAATAAGATTGAAGCTTTGATTTAATGTCTCAAATGGGCTATGAAATGCTTGGTGTGACGTCTACGTGATCTCGCTAACCACTTTATATATATTTATTACTTAAATGAGTGGACGGCGGTATGCTGGGAGAGATTGGATGCGGAAGGCAGAGGATCGTTCATTTTGGCGGACTATGAGAGAGGCCTACATCCAGCAGTGGAGAGATACAGGCTGATGATGATGATGATGAGTGGAAGACCTCACAGCCAACATAGTGTTAAGTGGTTACTGGAGCCCATAGATATCTACAACGTAAATGCGCCACCCACCTTGAGATATAAGCTCTAAGGTCTCAGTATAGTTAGAATGGCTGCACCGCCCTTCAAACCGAAACGCATTACTGCTTCACGGCAGATATAGGCAGGGCGGTGGTACCTACCCGTGCGGACTCACAAGAGGTCCTACCACCAGTAATAATGCAAATTATAATTTTGCGGGCTTATTTAATATATTATTAAACAAGCCATGAGCGTATTTTATCTATTGGTCTCAAGCAATTGTATTGATGTTAGGTAACTGAACTTTGGTTGCCAAGACGAAAACTTTTTCATTTCAACTTTTATTTTTAATAGTTAATTATAATTTTTCGTAAAGTTAATTGACCTGTAGTCGAAAGCCAAAGCAGCTCCTTACATCACATGAATCCACAATGGCGTTGACCCTATGCATCAGCTGATTGATTGTGTTACATTACGTGTTATTTCTTAAAGTGACAAAATTAAATATCTATATTTTTTTTCAGAATACGAAGAGGCTTAAACCGATGTGGCGTCGCCAACATGGCAACCTATGTAGAATTGTAATTCTAATATATCTGTTACAATATTATATTCATTATGAAAAATATTGTGTCTCTGTGTTTTTCTTGTGTGTTTGAAGATGTTCAGAGCTCATTCGAGTAGGTGACGACGAAATCGGTACAGTATTCGTCTATACTAATATTATAAAGAGGAAAGATTTGTTTGTTTGTTTGTATTGAATAGGCTCCGAAACTACTGAACCGATTTGAAAAATTCTTTCACTGTTTGGAAGCTACACTATTCCCCAGTGACATAGGCTATTATAATATTTTTTGAAAAAAATTAGGGATCCTTACTAAAATGTAACCCAAGGTGTAGAAAAATTACCTAAAATATTATTTACATCGCGTGCCCTGCGAAAACTATTCATGATAGAATAAAATAATGTATTACGACTTTGTAGAACACATTATTATTTACAAAAAGTGTCGTGACAGTATATGTCTAACTATTATAACTAGTCAAGTCATAAGTATTGTCACACAGTAAAAACTTTTCTTTTAGAATGCTGGCCACAAAAAAGTTTATTGAATTCGAATTTCGAATTGTTCATGAAAATAAAAATGTATACTTTCAGAATTTTACTCATTTTTAAATATGGAGTGGACGCTTAAAGAAGACCGTGTTGCAGTTATTGCGTTGCATCGTTGCGGTTACGCACCAATTCAAATTTTTAACATATTGAAAATTTTGATTATAACCAAAAGATTCGTTTATCATACCATCAAACGATACAATGAAGACTCTAGTGTAGATGACAGGTCAAGAAGTGGTCGCCCTCGGTCTGTTAGGACTCTAGCAGTGATAAAAGCTGTGAAGGCGCGAATTCAAAGAAATCCCAAACGTAAGCAGAAACTGTTGGCCCTTCAGATGGGGTTAAGCAGAACCACGCTGAAAAGGGTGTTAAATGAAGACTTAGGGCTTCGGGCATATCGAAGAAAAACAGGACATCGTTTGAATGCTCGTCTAATGGACCTGAGACTGAAGAGATGCCGCGCTTTGTTGAAGCGGTACGCGGGAAAAAAAATTCGGGAAATTCTTTTTTCGGCTGAAAAAATTTTTACCGTAGAAGAGAGCAACAACAAACAAAATGATAAGGTGTGCGCACACAGTAGTGAAGAAGCGAGCAACCGTATTCCGCGAAACGTGTCCAACGAGTTCATTTTCCATCCTCGCTCATGGTATGGTTGGGAGTTTCTTATTGGGGCTTAACAGAGGTACATTTTTGTGAGAAAGGTGTAAAAACGAATGCAGTTGTGTATCAAAATACAGTCCTGACGAACCTTGTGGAACCTGTTTCTCATACCATGTTCAATAACAGGCACTGGGTATTCCAAAAAGATTCGGCGCCAGCTCATAGAGCGAAGAGCACACAAGACTAGCTGGCGGCGCGTGAAATCGACTTCATCCGGCACGAAGACTGGCCCTCCTCCAGTCCAGATTTGAATCCGTTAGATTACAAGATATGGCAACACTTGGAGGAAAAGGCGTGCTCAAAGCCTCATCCCAATTTGGAGTCACTCAAGACATCCTTGATNACACTTGGAGGAAAAGGCGTGCTCAAAGCCTCATCCCAATTTGGAGTCACTCAAGACATCCTTGATTAAGGCAGCCGCCGATATTGACATGGACCTCGTTCGTGCTGCGATAGACGACTGGCCGCGCAGATTGAAGGCCTGTATTTAAAATCACGGAGGTCGTTTTGAATAAACTTTAGTGTCATAAGAATCTATGTTTTGTTAAGTAAATTTTGGTATATTAATGGTTACATAATGAATAAACTTGTTTCAATTATTTTACATTAAACATGTGACAGAATTTATGACCTGACTAGGTAGTTATGCCACAACAAGTGTTAATTTATTTAAAAAAATAAAACAACGTCAAATGTCGTTGAAATTTTTGTTATAGACCCGAGCGGAGCCGGAGTGGGCCACTAGTACTAATATATATTTATTGGGCTCATTGAAGAAGTGTACTTGAATTAAAGTGGGTAGATATCATCATCGTACGTGTATTTGGCACAAAGCAGCTATGCGTTTCGCTTTAAGGGGAATCATGTTCCGCTTAAAGTATGTTATGGAACACAACTGATTCTTCACCCTCCTGTCTCCAGTATTACGGCATTTTCATGGTGACGTCCATGTTCATTGAATCACTTACCAGATCCACGACACATCTACGCGTCTGTACAAAAAAATCCTCACAAATAAAATATGGTATAAAACTTTAATTTCTTTTATGTATAAAAATTTAACTCATTCTTTCTTCACAGAATCAGTCCAAGTCTTCATGAAGTTGTTCAGTGGTCCTTCCACTAGCAGGAATAGTAGTAAAGCAAGGATGTAGGATAGACAGGTGACGCCTGCAGTGGTGATGAACTGAAATAAAAACAATAATAATATAGTAAGACTCAATAGTATGGCAGAAAGCAAAATTATGCTTAACTTTTTTTTTATTGTTTAGATGGGTGGACAAGCTCACAGCCCACCTGGGGTTAAGTGGTGACTGGAGCCCATAGACATTTACAACGCAAATACGCCACCCACCTTGAGATATAAGTTCTAAGGTCTAACTGTTGTCTATAATTATTGCTATAACATTATTTCCGCCATTTTGAAACGGAAACTGTTAAGTATTCGAAACGATGATAATAAAAAACGTGTGGCACTCGGGAACTGCCGCGGTAAAACTATTGCATAGCATTTTTTTATCAACTTATGCAATTATTATTAGACAATAATAATTTAATATTAAAACAAGAATAAAACAAGACCACGCTATATTAAACATTAATAAAAGCAAAACCTTAACTGTCCCCTTCACACTCATAAGCTTGACCGCGCGAGAGAGAGATGGGCAGACTTTTCATGATGCGCATGCAGTGTGACGTCACGCCACGCGCTTATTCACAAACACTACACAAGCGCAACGTGTGAATGTGTTTAACGCGAGCTACATGGTAAGCGGAGTGAGGGGTGTTAGGTTTTTTTCGTTACGGAATTTCATGATTCGGTCGCCCCCCTCAAAGGCCGCTATAAAAGCTATGCAATACATAGCTTAATAAACGCGTTATTAAATCGTAAAAATAAGTAGTTTTCATTGTGTCTATGATTTGCGAACGTCGAAGAAAATACTAAACTGATTATTTCCAACAAAAAATACTGGATTGTTATATTTGCGTTCGATAGTGAATTTATGTGGAGATAATTTATGAGGGCTTTATGCACATACCAGCTGAGTACCCAGGACTACAACAATAACAAGAAAAAGTTCGATGATAGCTACGAAATAAAAATGAAGAAAAGACAAACAGAGGAGAAACTGGCACATAATACATACCTATACATTTTCTATTTATTGCATAGGTGGCTGGACGAGCTCACAATCAACCTGGTGTTAAGTGGTTACCGGAGCCCATAGACATCTACCACGTAAATGCTACCCACCTTGACATACAAGTTCTAAGGTCTTATGTATAGTTACAACGGCTGCACTATCTTTCAAACCGAAACTCATTGCTGCTTCACGGCAGAAATATGCAGGGTTGTGGTACCTATCCCTGCGGACTCACAAGAGGTCCTACCACCAGTCCCAAGAGGTTCTAACCACCTTGCCCTTATCTATATTCTATGTAAAGGTTACAGAAAAATTATAAATAATATCCCAAATAATTACCATATTAAACATCGCGGCTTGATTCAAGGTGATCTTAATTCCAGAAATTATATGGATAAAGTTGAAATGAATCAGATACACGCAGTAGGTCAGTCTGCCGGGCAAAACCCATCCCTTCCACTCCAGGATGTTCCTTAATATAACTGGAACAACATAAGCAAAATCAACATCTTTGCTAAAAAAAATTATTGCTTAGATGGGTGGACGAGCTCACTGTCCACCTGGTGTTAAGTGGTTACCGGAGTCCATAGGCATCTACACAGTAAATGCGGCCACCTTGAGATATAAGTTCTAAGTTCTCAAGTATAGTTACAACGGCAACTGCAAAATAACTTTATGCTTAGGTATCTTTTTTATTGCTTACATGGGTGGAAGAGCTCACTGTCCACCTGGTGTTAAGTGGTTACCGGAGTCCATAGGCATCTACACAGTAAATGCGGCCACCTTGAGATATAAGTTGTAAGGTCTCAGTTTTTACAATACAACGGCTGCCCCACCATTCAAACCGAAACGTATTACTGCTTCACGGCAGAAATAGGCAGGGTGGTGGTACCTACCCGCGCGGACTCACAACAGGTCCTACCACCAGTAAAAAATGGTAATTTATTTGAGCTGGTACAAACAGTTTTATAGTTGTGAGTAGTTGTTTGTTGTTAAATTCCCAATATATAGATGTATACTATTAGAATCGTTGCAGATAGCTATTTATTACTGTTTGAATCATGTCCATACTGTGTTGAAATAGTTCCAGAACGTTCCTAATTTTTATCAATAATAAAAAAGCACGTGTCTGGCTCATAGAACGCAGATGCAAAATTATTATCACTAGGATTACAGATCATACATTATTTGGCACTTTTATTTCGACCTTAGTTATTGCTCAAAATCGAAACTTAATGTCTTTCTTGTCTTTCTTGTCCATTCCAGCTAACAACTGCTCCATACCTTAAAATGTATTAGAACCTGCCCAAATAATCTAGATTAAATAATCTCCTCCTAAATCATCGTTCTAAAAAAATTCTTAAGGCTATGACTTCGTGCCTGTAATTCATATTGGATTGCGCTATTAGATGATTTCTCAATAATTCGGTTTGGCTGTAAAAATATTATTATGATTCCTTCGAATTTTATTGGTTCGTTTGGAGCTCTAATTTTCATAACCCTTAATTATTCCTATTGAGTTCATTGTGGGATCCAAGGAAAATCGGTATTTTCTCGGTCTACCGTTAAATGTGTTTTGTGTGGTCACTGGTATTTAGTTACACATGAGTTATAATAAGCAAATACCCGAAAATATATCGAACCTTTAGAAGTCGTGAGGTTTAACTAATCCAAAATTCTTGTTTTTTTTCTGGTAAACGCCAAAAACGTAGATTGAAGAATTGTAATTTTGATTTACTGTTTCGATTTTAATACTTCTAGTTAATACTTCAAAGTATAAAACTCATTTTCTTAAAATATTTGTTAACCCATTTCAATTTTAAAGGTGCGATATTTAAGGAAATGAAGTTTTTTTTTGGGAGTACTTACTGGGGCTCTTCATGACCATTCCAATTAATCCACCAGCAATGATTAATGCGATAATTAATCGGTGCAAAGACGCATATGCCATTCGCAAGAACACAGAGGCTCTTGGACCCTCAATGTAGAACATCTGCCCGGAGTACATAATTAATGCGATGGCTGGAATTACTAACCATAGGAACTTCGCAAATACCTAAAAGTAAATGAATTAGTTGGGATTTGTATTCTATGGATGATAGATTAAAAGGATCATTGCAATAGTCAAAACTCCAAGAAACCTCTAATTATATTTCATATCTTTCCGCGAACAGTATATTGTTACCATAATATTTTCAAATATTTAGAGAATAAGTCCATAATAACAAGAAAATTATTTGTACCTTATTTTTTGAAATATCCACACCTCTCTTCTGCCAGTTATAGACCAGATTCCCACTGGCCATTCCGACCGTATAGCTGACCAAATTGTTATGTCCCAATTTACACATCAAATAAAAGCTATCGTTGTTTAAAGTTCTGAAAAACCTGTTCGGAGGTAAAGGGCTTTATACATTCCCATGTTTTGTGGAGTTGGAAATACTTACAAAAAGTTTCATGATGCTTAATCGATGTTAATATATTTTATTCTATTATGTAGATTCTGCTCACGTAGATTGGGCTCGATTTGAAAAATATTTAATAATAGTCTGGTATGTAATATATACAATATGTAATACCGAGTATACGAGTGGTCATAACATGAGCTAGTCTTAGATTCTATTATATTAGCTTATTATTAGACTTGGAAGTGATTTAATTTTTGTTCTCTTCGAATTATGGTTTCAATGTCTAAACAGTATTAATCAGAATACTGCTATAGATATAGTTGTTTTAGAGTTGAAGATGCTCATGGCGGACTTGGGTAAGTAAGAGCCAATAAACATTACAATGTAAATGTCGGCAAATAAAGATAATGTGATATCTCAATTTTATTGCATAATTTAATCTCGTCCAGTTCAACAGAAATGCTTCGCAGGCGAGCTTGAGGACTCAAATTAAATTCTACAAATTTATAATGCTTGCGATTTTTATTATTCTACATGTTGATATTACATTAACATGGTAATAAGATTTGAAGAGTTATGAAATAGAGCGTATTTAGTTCGAAAAATGTATCCCAAAGGAGTTAACCGGATTTTACCGAAGTGGAATTCATCCATACCACCTAGAACCACTCCGTTCATCTACAGTGCGCTTCCAAAGATATTTTTTCCACGTACCATAAGGCTTTGGAATGAACACCCCCATGGTGTTTCCAAAGTGCTGTGACATATCTTTATTCAAACAAGGCTTGTGGCTTCAATAGACAGTAGCTTGGCTCTGCTCCTGGCATTGCTGTCGTCCATGGACGACGGTAACCAATCGCTATGAGGTCGTATGCTCGTCTGCTTACAAGGGCAATAAAAATAAATATTGTGGAAATACACACGATTCTATTAATAATAAATAAATTTTTCGTTCTCTAAAAAAATCTAATAAAAATATTACGTACTCTGGCATCAAGATCATAATGCCATCCAGATCCTGGAACCAGACGTGCAGGGACGGTAGTATGAGAGATGTGATCAGTAGCAAGATCATCACGATCTTCCTTCCTCGTTTCATCGTTAGCACATAAGCAACCAGTCCAATAAAGAAAAGCTGTGTGTCTGATGCTACGTGCCTGGTTGGTATATATAATTACTTATTAAACAATCATCAATCTAAATCTAATTATAAATCAGGAGTATCAGGTAATTTTTGTTAACTTATAAACAAAGACTCCATTCCGGATCCTCCCGATCAATTAATGGTGATTTTAGGTACCTCAAGCACCGGTCATCGTTCTCGTCGAACCCGTTGCTTGCGACGAAGGGCTCGACGAGTAAATTAACCGACAGACACAGCCCATTGAGTTTCTCACCGGATCTTCTCAGTGGGTCGCGTTTCCGATCCGGCGGTAGAATCTGCGAAGCACTGCTCTTGCCAGGGTTGATGTTAGCAACGTCGTCAGATTTGAGCCCCGCGAGCTCACCTACTTATTAGGGTTACGCTAAAGTGGCCTCTCAAGGCTATCAGCATAGGTAGAAAAAAAAACCATGTTTGAATATGTCCTCTTACCCACCAAGTGTGCAATGCGCAGAACTTATTCTCCGTCATATAGTTGTTGATGTAGATTAGATGCTGCCACCAATATCTTCGGCAATCTCTCACGAAGCTGTTGGTCACGTAGTGGTCCCAAAGCGGGCCGGAGCTTAAATGCCGCATCCAAGTTGAATTGAACGCTATGATTAATGCGTAAACCGGCGTCAACCTGGTCATTGAGGAAGATACAATTATGAAATGGCGTGTGAAACCCGACCACGGTCCGTCGTCCGCTAAATCTATCAAAAACATCCTGTTGATACCACATGGGTACAGCCTATTATTCGTTAATAATAAAAGCTCCCTTAAATTACGCGGAACAGCTGTGCCAAGTTCCATCAAAATCGAATCAATCGCTTAGGTACGCACACAGGATTCACATACAAATATTTTGTCATATCAACTGCTATGTACTTCATAATAGTAAGGGTAATAATCATGAATATGTGGTCACGAGTGGTTCTTTAGATACTATATAATTGAGAGTGTGATCCCATTTTTAAAAGCGGGATTCATGCTCTGTTGTCTATGGTTTTAAAAGCGGGATTCACGCTCTATTGTCTATGGTTCTTGTGACTGCTTACCATGAGATCAGCAGTGAGCTGACCTAAGCGTTAAAGTTCATTTACACAAACTAGCAAGTACCATAGAGTGTATTTTTTTTAATCTGTCAGCTAACTTCTGAGATAATGAACTCTGGAGTATAGGCCGGTCCTGCATCATCCCTATTTCTATCGTGAAATTATCACCAGACCCGGGATCGTATGCTATGCGTTATTTCAACGCAACTCTTAGGATCTTGTTTCACTAATCCGTTCATATAGGCTTCGAGCTATTGAGGTATCCTAACAGCCTAACATTGTTATTGGTGGTAGGACCTCTTGTGAGTCCGCACGGTGAGGTAGCACCGCCCTGCCTATTTCTGCCGTGAAGCAGTAATGCGTTTCGGTTTGAAGGGTGGGGCTGCCGTTGTAACTATACTGAGATCTTAAAACTTATATCTCAATGTGGGTGGCGCATGTACGTTGTAGATGTCTATGGGCTCCAGTAACCACTTGGGTGGTTACTGGAGCCCATAGACACGAGCACGAGACTTAGACACGAGCTCACAGTTGGGCTGTGAGCTCGTCCACCCATCTAAGCAATAAAAAAAAGCCGTGGTAATTCCCCAAATATCAATACGTCACGACCATATTGTGAAGACCACAATGGATTTTCAAAGTAAGGCCAAATTCACTAATACCTCCACCACCTCAGGAACATGACAAATGGTATAGATGCCCAAGTTGCCGGTAGTTTCTCGACGCGGATTAAGAAGTTGTATACCAGTAGGAAGCCTGATATGCAGAAGAAGACGTGAACCACCATAACACCGTTGAAGATCATCTGGTAGAGCAAATGATCGTATGCCTGGAATGTTTTGAGAAATCGGAATTAAAACAACTTTTTTTTTCTTGTCATCCAAATAATAATTGGGTGCGGTGAGAAGGAACAAATGTGACGTCACGTCAACCAAAGAACGTATGCATCATTGATGATAGTGATTTTTGGTAAAGAAAATTTGATTTAATTAAATTTCGTCGTAGCCTAAACGATAAGACGTCCGGTGCATTCGTGTTGAGCGATGCACCTGTGCTCGAACCCAGGCGAGTACCAATTTCTCTAATGAAATACGTACTCAACAAATGTTCACGATTGACTTCTACGGTGAAGGAATGACGTCGGCTCCGGTAACCACTTAACACCTGGTGGGCCGTGAACTCGTCCACCCATCTAAGCCATAAAAAAAGAAGAAAAAAGGAACTTCGACTTTTCTTAAGGTGTGCTCACGTTGTCATGTGAATGAGTTTCGGTTAATACTCAACAATAATTGCACATTCCGTGAGCTTGTTCACTATTAGAGTAGTAACAAGTCTCGAAGACTGAAGAGTCCTGATTGGAACTGAATAAATGATTAATGAATAATTCTCTCGAAATGCGCCAATTTAATGCTAAAATTAATTTTGAGAATTTCTTCGTATGAAATATGGTTTATCTTTTAAGTTCTGCGGTACAAAGTTGCGCTCGGGCTTATAGACGGTCGAGACAGTTGAGACACATGAGAATATTATGTGTGAAAGTGTTAAAGTTCTGATGTGTATCGACTCTCGTCAACTCTATACGTCAGGTGGGCCATGATCTAACCTAAGTGCCTTAAGAAAGATAAATATTTTTGTTGCATTCGTATTAATTATTCATTCTTATTAGTTTTATAAAAACGAGACCAGAAACACAAGTATCAAATTGATTGCCATTTGATTTCATTAGCATAAAGCATTAGCCAATGTTCTGAAATGTTTAAGTATATAAATAAAAAGTTAGGCCCCTAGTACACGGCGTATTTAAAACGCGCAGACGCGTGTTTCAGGAACGCGCGTCTGAAGCGCGTTTTAATCACATTTGAAGTGCGTACTGTTACAGACTCCCCATGTTAGTAAAAGTAATAATACATCTCTTTCAATCATCACTGGTGCTGAGTAAGCATTGTGAGAAATGTCTTGGTTATAGTTACAGACCGAGAGTCACTCAGTCATATTTAGTCGCCCATCGGGAGCGGTCTTAGACAATATCTTCTTTCTGCCAATTTCTATAATTTCATTGTTCGTGCAATTGAATTAATAAAAGTGAAATCTCCTTTCAAATTACTTTTTTATAAACCTAATCGGGAGACCCCGCATAACAGTACGAAGGAGCGAAGGAGGGGTAGAGAAGGGGCGCGCGCTCACTCCGTCGCTATGTTCTGTGTTACCAACTTTGTTGTCATGTTGTTATGACCACACAATCTTCGTTTACTCGTAAATGGGTCTACCCAATAAATTCGCTATTTTTTTCTTTTTCTTTCTTTTCAAAAGCAGTGCTAAAGCCATTGTAGTCTCAACCGACGCGATTGTACAACTTTTTATTTATTCATTTTTTATTTTTTATTGCTTAAATGGGTGGACGAGCTCACAGCCCACCTGGTGTTAATTGGTTACAGGAGCCCATAGACATCTACGACGTAAATGCGCCACCCACCTTGAGATATAAGTTCTAAGGTCTCAAGTATAGTTACAGCGACTGCCCCACCCTTCAAACCGAAACGCCTAACTGCTTCACGGCAGAAATAGGCAGGGTGGTGGTATCTACCCGCGTGGACTCACAAGAGGTCCTACCACCAGTAAAGCAACTGAAACACACAACTGAACTAATCTAATCAAAACGTAGAAGCTACGAGCGACTACAACGCATCTGTATCGCTATATCTGCGCATATACGTTTAGTAGACGCGCACTTCACGATCACCGCGTGTGCTTACGTTATGGTTCGTTTGAATCTCGTTAGAAGCGCATATAGGCGGGTCATCTGCGCGTCGACTGCGCTTTTAAAATACGCCGTGTGCTATGGTCCTTACCTCTTCGAAGTCGCGCGGATTAGCAACGAACCCGTTTCCCAATATAGTGATGATGTGGGCGAATATTATTAAAACATTCGTTATTGTTCTGAAAATAAATTAAATTGTGTCTGTTGATATTTCGGTACACGAAATTTTCTATTATAAGATCAAAGGATCAAACGGGTATTTTTATTCAATAATCAGTGCCAATAGATGCACTTGTATCGATTGCGATGCGATGACATGCAGCAAAGATGCGAATGTTGCGATGGATGTGTGGAGTAACGAGAATGGATAGAATACGGAATGAATATATTAGAGGAAGACTGAAAGTGGCATCTGTGACAGAGAAGCTGAGACGTGCGCGTTTGGGGTGGTATGGACATGTGATGAGACGAAATGAAAATGAGGTTGGTAAGAGAGTGTCAACTATGAATGTGGAAGGATATAGAGGAAGAGGTAGACCTAAGAAGAAATTGATGGATTGCGTGAAAGATGTTATGTGTAAGAGGGGAGTGAGCGAAGAAATGGTATATGATTGAGGAGTATAGAAGGAGAAAACATGTTACGCCGACCGCAGGTGACTGGGAGAAGGGCAGGAGAATGAACCAGTGCCAATAAATATTACAACGTCCATACCGAATACATTGTTGTTTTTTTTACGCAGAGAGACGAGCATACTGCCCAACTGACGGTGAGTGGTTACTGTCGCCCATGGACATCAGCAATGCTGGGGCAGAGTCAAGCCACTGACTACCGTTAAGTACTCTCCATAAGCCTCGTTTCAAGAAGAACATGTCATAGCGCTCGGGAAACATCGTAGAGAGGAGCTCATTCCAAAGCCACATGGTACAAGAACTTGTCTACAAAAATATTCAGTTTATTTACCTGACACCATAAAAGCCTTTGAGTCTCCTTATCCTAGGATCTTTTGGTTCAGACTGAATCAACCAACCCCAGTTACGTTTGATTGAAAAACATAGAAGGTATTTGTTACCTGAATCTTTAAAATTCATATTAGTTAAACAACTTATATATCTCTCTTCCCCTCTCTATCTCTTTTAGTCCACAGACGTCCACTACTGGACATAGGTCTGTCTAAGTTCGCCAAACGATCGGCCTTGCGCTGTTTGGATCCAGCGGATTCACGGGACATTCAACATCGAAAGTGCCTTCCAAAGTCTATGTGTGGTTAATCACTCACCAACTGATGCAACGGCTCGTCTGCCTATGAAGTAATTTATAAAATTAACAACTATTCGATCATCGACCTAATTGTGGTCATCACTCCAATGGTGAAGGAATAACATCGTATAATAAAAATCAAACCCACAGAATTATAATTTGCGTAATTACTGTTGGAAGGACGTCTTGTAAGTCAGCACGGGTAGGTACCCTGCCTACTTCTGCCGTGAAAAAGTAATGCGTTTCGGTTTGAAGGGCGGGGCAGCCGTTGTACTGTTAAAACTGTTTTAACTATACTGATATCTTAGAACTTATATCTCAAGGTAGGTGGCGGCATTTTCGTTGTAGATTTGTATGGGCTCCGGTAACCACTTAACATCAGGTGGGCCATGAGCTCTTCCACCCATCTAAGTAATAAATAAACAATCAAAATCGTCATAAAATGATGCGAGCTAAGCCTTGCATTGATATTTCGTTCTAAAGAATGTGGCGAGACCCGATGAATGAATTCATATGGCTCGAATAGAAATGTCTGCGGGTAGTTTCTCTTTAAAATTCTTTTTCACAACATAATGAATCTAAAACTGTTATGTTTACGCGTAGTTCAGAGAATACAAATCTTTTGTTTGTTTCCTGAAGTCCACTATTTAAGGTGTATATAAGTATGTCTGTAAGTATCAATGTGCCTGACCAATGTTCTTTTCTTCTTCACGCCTATACACAAAATGATGGTACACAGTTCCGATCGCATTGATGGCGACAAAGAATCCAAATATTCCAAACACAATCCAATCGTACGAGTCAATTTGAATGCCGTCTTCGTGTTTCTTGCAATAATAGATTTTGGTTAAATTAATTTTCAGTTCGTGATCTTTGTAGATAGTTTCGTTAAGACAAGCCTCCAGATTTGCGTCGAAGTCTGAAACGTTTTGTTCGTATTCGAAGTATTTCCTGCACGTTCTAGTGACACAGATGCCTCTCTCCAAATAGGTGTGGTTGTAATGTTTTGTCGTAACCGCTGAGTAGTCCTAGAATGCAAAATTTGAAGCAGCTTTTATACGGGAATATTGGATGATGTCAACATAAGGGACGGTGAAGATTATTTTTTATGAATACACGAGAAAAATAGCTCAAGTGTTCTAATGATGACCGTAGAGGTTGGACTGTACAAATCTATGATCGTCGCTCACCTAATGAAATTAAGTGGAAATCGCTATGTTGTATCCAGGTAGCGGTTTTCTATTATCATATCATTATCGTGCCCTTCTCCCAGGCACCTGGGGTCGGCGCAACATGTTTTCTCCTTCCATACTCTTCTATCATATGTCATTTCTTCGCTCACTTCCCTCTTACCCATATCATCTTTCACGCAATCATTCCATTCTTCTTAGGTCTACCTCTTCCTCTATATCCTTCCACATTCATAGTTAACACTCTCTTACCAACCTCATTTTCATTTCGTCTCATCACATGTCCATGCCATTCCAAACGCGCACTTCTCAGCTTCTCTGTCACAGGTGCCACTTTCAGATTTCCTCTAACATATTCATTCCGTATTCTATCCATTATCGTTACTCCACACATCCATCGCAACATTCGCATCTCTGCTGCATGCAATCGCCTTTCATCCGCCACTTTTAGCGGTAGCGGTATTGTATCATTCAGACCGAAATACTTTTTTTTATATTGCCCTCGTAGCCAGACGAGCATATGGCCCACCTTATGGTGAGTGGTTACCGTCACCCATGAACATCAGCAATGCTGGGGCCAGCCAAGCCACTGCCTACCGTTAAGTACTCTCAACAAGCCTCGTTTGATATGTCATAGCGCTCGGGAAACACCGTGGAGGGGAGCTCATTCCAAAGCCGGATGGTACGAGTCAAAAAAGATCTCCGGAAACGTACTGTGGATGAGCGCAGTGACTCCAGGTAGTACGGATGAGCTCTGCTCTGGTGGGGGGCGATGCGATGGTAAAAACGAGATGAAGGTATCATCTCACATAATTCCTCAGATCACTCCCCATGGAACATACGGTACAAAATACAGAGGAAACCATATATTCAAAAGAGCGCTGCAGAAATAGAACAGTAGTAATGTTCCGCGCCGTCTTAGTACGCGACCCATCATAAATGTTTAAGTATTTAGTTGTATGTTATGTATTTTAAAGGGGTCCTCTAGTTATTAAAGCTTTATATACCATCGTATCTCAATTCTTAAGTTTAGCGAATTGCGAAACTAAGAACGAAGGTACGCTCCCATATCAATCAAAGCGCCCCCGACAATTGTGCCGAGGCTCGTGGGTTAGATTCCCACGTCGGGCAAATATTTGTGTGTTGAATACATTATGTATGCTCTTTTATGTGGGTGTTTATTATCTATTTAATATGTAGATAGCCTATATAAATACATGTATATATCGGTCACTCGTTCTCATAGTACAGGTAATCCGAATTTGGGGCCAGTTGACCGTACGCGACTTGTTCGCGGCTATTATTATTATTATTACTAGCGGTCCCGCAGTAGTCGAAATTCGACTATAATTAATTGAAATTATAAGTTTAAACATTATTATGGTTCTGTTGTCAAAGACTATTTATACTTCTATACTATAACCACAGAGTTCGCCAAAATTACACGCATAGATAAATAATATTAAAGACAAACAATAATAATCTATTCTCAATTTGACGACCGACTTTTTTTAATGGTGGTAGGACCTCTTCTGAGTCCGCGCGGGTAGGTACCACCACCCTAGCTATTTCTGCCGTGAAGCAGTAATGCGTTTCGGTTTGAAGGGCGGGGCAGCCGTTTTAACTATAATTGAGAACTTAGAACTCATATCTCAAGATGGGATTTACGTCGTAAATGTCTATGGGCTCCAGTAACCACTTAACACCAGGTGGGCTGTGAGCTCGTCCACCAACCTAAGCAATAAAAAAAGACTTTAAACATTAACAAAGGTTTGACAATTGACAATAAACAAATAGTAGAATATGTATGTGTTGTGTTAAATACATGGTAGTGTGTGCTATATTTTTTGATTGATTTAAAGTATATTTTATGCCTAATAAAAAAAAAAAATAGCATTCTGCACTCCTTCTCTATATTCTCTATATTCTCTATATTCTCTATAAGTGTGGGAAATTACACACTCCTCCATCCGCGCGATTTTCGTAAAAAGGGATACAAAGTTTTTGCTTCACGTATTAATATATAGATAATCATAAAAAATGAGAATTATTAACTTACCCTTATAAGTTGAATCAAATCACTGTCGTCAGGTCCGACTAGATCCATTCGGACCAAGCAATAAATACCTCTATCCCCATTTAAACAAAATTCATATTCGTCCAAATCGAAGAGAGGTGGCATACGTTCGTACGTTGATTCTGAAAATTAGGTACTGGTTTTCATTTACGTCGGATTTTCTCAATTTTCACATTATTTTTTTATTACACTAGGTGCGTCATTATGTTGTAGGGACATTTGGATATGAAATAGAAGTTTTTTTTTAAAGATTGAAGTATTACTGGTAGCCCGGAGGCCTTTCCAGTTTCACCAGGACAGGTGGGCGAGCAAAGGCTCAGCCAGGAGGCGTGGGATTTGCTAACAGCTCCCTGAGCGCCTCCGAAGGAAACGTAACAACTCAAGAGCAGCTGCTTCGCGAATTAATCTACTACCGGATCGGAAGAAATAGAAGTCTTAACTCTATGTCGACTATGACTCTGATCTATGACCGTGATCTATGACTCTGTGCCCCCCGATGAAACCAGAACGCATGATTGCTTCTTTTTATTTTTTATTACTGAGATGAGTTGACGAAATCACGGGTCACCTGGTATTAATTGGGCGGTAAACCATGACGCACTGTGGGACATGACTTTTAAGTCTTGATCGAACTGTTTCACTTCACAAATAGGTAGCGTGGTGGTACCCACCCGTGCGGACTCACAAAACGTCCTACCACCACTAAATACGCAAATCCGAAGGCATATCTCACCGTTCAAGTGGTAAATCTGAGCTGCGACACATAACGTACAATAATACAATAAAAACACAGGTGAAATCATTTTCCTTTCCTCGACACATTTACTAGTTGATCAGAAGGAATACGGATACACACTGAGCCGATACGCTTTAAATATTGATTCCGGAATTACTGATAGCTTCAATAAAATTAAATTCAGAATATTTAAAGTTACTTCTTGACCTTGTAAGTTTGTATATTTCAAGAGACATTCGTAGACTTGTTGAAGACGAAGACATCGATTATTAACATACTTAAATAATATACTAAACAACTTTTACTAATTGCCAACGATATATATGTATTTTCTAGTTTTGGTTCAATTGAAAAATACTAATTTTTTGTCGGATGCGGCCCCTTGGCAATCTATACATGCGCAGTTTTTATTTTTTTTTCCTACCTATGCTTATGGCGTTGAGAGACTATTTCAGTTTCTTCTTGACGTGTAGGTGAGCTCGCAGGGCTCAAACCGGTGGTGTTGCTAATACTGGCCCTAGCAAGAGCAGTGCTTCGCAGAATCTACCGCCGGATCGGAAACGCGACCCGATGAGTAGATCCGGCGAGAAACTCAATGGGCTTTTAACGACTGTCTGGTGTAGTGGTAAGTGACATGGTCACTACAAAAGGGGGTCGCGGGTTCGAATCCCGCCAAGGGAAGATATTTACATGATAAATATAAAATGTCTTTTCCAGGGTTATGGATGTATGTTAAATATGTGTATGTGTATAATAAAAAATCTTACATTTATTTCCGCTATCTGGTACCTGTAACACAAGTTCTTTACGAACTTATCACGGGACCAGTTAACGTGGCGTGATTGTTTTAAAAAAAAAAAAAATGAAAAAAAACATGCGCGGTTTTACGTGCAAAAAGTTTTTCAAAAGTCCCCTTTTTCTATCAAAATGTTATATGTTTCATTGCTTGATCCCACGGATTCGTGGCATTCCGATAGAGGCACCCGTCACGTGCGGACGTGCTCATCGTCCACTCGATCGCCCGGTCTTTGTTCGCCCGGCTTTTGTTAGCCCGGCCATTGTTCGCGCGGCCTGTGTTCGTGGTACATCTGCCGACTAAGTGCTCTTTCTGGAAGTTTTTATTTGTTTTGTTTCCTTTTGTTGTTTCTGTGTTCGTGGTACNGATCTTCTCAGCGGGTCGCGATTCCGATCCGGTAGTAGATTCATTCGCGAAACAATTGCTCTTGAGTTGTTAGGTCTCCTTCGGAGGCGCTCGGGCAGTTGTTAGCAAATCCCACCCCTCTTGGCTGAGCCTTTGCTCGCCCACCTGTCCTGGTGAAACTGGAAAGGCCTTCGGGCCACCAGTAAACTTTCAATCATAAAAAAAAGGATTCGTGGCATTCGTGTATCTTGAACATAATTAAATAATAATAATATATTAGTATAACTAGTTTTACACTTTATTTCTGTGCTTATGTAACTCTTAAGATTACATCGTGAAGATGAAAATTCAAGTCAAATGAACTGTCAGAATTCAAGCTGCAATAGTTCTTATTTTCATTTGCGAAGATACGGAATATTGATTAGCAATCTATACTAATATATAAATCTACAGTGTTTTTTACGGATGTTCCGTTATAACTACTGAACCGTGCATCCGATTGTCTTGAAGCTTGGTATCCATTTAGAAAATTCATGTACTTATTGGATAGGCCAATATTTATCTGAGTGTTGGATTCCCTAATAATAATGACAGTCTATCTATATAAGTATATATAAAAATGATTAGTTATCCCTTTGATGTGTCCCCCGTCGGACGGATTCCTGTTGTTTGTTTTAAGTTTATTTTATACAAAAGTTTAGGTCTCTTATTTATCGATTGAGGCACAACGAAGTCTACCGGGTCAGCTAGTAAATAATAATGTTAATTGTAAATGGTGAGTAGGTCTAGTTATTAATAAAATTACTAATATTCAAAAATCGACAAATAACACTATAGTCGTCCGCTGTTACGAAAACGGTATAAAATTCTAAATTCGTAAACTATATAGTTAAAATGACACACGCTAGTGCAAATCGAAAAAGTCTGTAGTTATAACAATGAATACGCGGCAAGTGACTGGGTGGTTGCCATTTTATCAAATCTAAAGCCTTAATTGAAGGCTACATACAGCTCGATCCATGCATACGAATATCAGAAATGCAATAGCGAATTTATCTATTACGATGTCAGAAAAAAGCACAGGACATTTCCTCCTTACATCCTTACAGATCCTTACAGATATACCCAGCGGATTTTTTCTTTTCTTTTTTTTTTTTTTCTACATTACACGACTGAACTCGCGTGAAAAACTAATTCAATAATTGGCCACAAAGGATCCACTATAAAACATTTATAATCCGGTTTAAAAAGTAGGAGTAATTCATGACTGGTAAAATAATAATATCGAGAAGAATGCTGTGATAAAACAACTCGATTTACAAATTATGTATTTAAATTTAAACAGCTCATTAAAATTGTTAAATTTCTTGGACAGGTGTTGTCTTTATTTCTAGTTCGTCGTAGAGAAAAGGCGACAGAAATAAACTTCTAATAAGCATAGACTGTGGTAATGTATTTTTCACGATATTTGTAAACTGTGAGTCCTTTTAGTAAGGAATATTGCTTGGGGTAGCCGTTTTACCATATAATTGAGAATTCGACTTGAGGCTTGATGGCGATTTTCACGTTGTCATATCTTTAATGGCCACTTAACACGAGACGTACCGTCTGCTCGTACTTACAATACTAAAAAGAGTTAACGTGAACAATAATAATAATAAAACCCTAAATTTCAGATATAGCGTACGAAAGTGTGCTGCCAATATGAAACATGTGTTAATGGAGTTAAGAGTTTTTATTGCCTGATCGGAATCTATCTTGATAGATCAGATGATATTACTTTGATACGATTTGTGATAATGAATTTATGTTCATTTATTCGAAGTCTGTTCCTACTTTACCTATTTTAAATTTTAATTTGCGTAATTACCGGTGGAGGACCTCTTGTGAGTCCGCACGGGTAAGTACCCTGCCTATTTCTGCAGTAATGCGTTTCGGTTTGAAGGGCGGGGCAGCCGTTGTAACTACACTGAGACCATAGAACTCATATCTCAAGGTGGGTGGCGACATTTACGTTGTAGATGTCTATGGGCTCCGACAACTACTCAACATCGGGTCGGCTGTGAGCTCATCCATCTATCTACTTATGCAATAAATAAAATAAAACTTTTGATGCGTTAGTAAATGTATTTACGGATAGGTACAGTCTCGTGTTTGTTTATCAATATTATACTTAATTAATATGATTTTGTGGGAGTTTACGACGAAAGGAAGATTTTCCCTCGAGCCGGTGATATTGCTCGGTAGACCGACGGTCCCAAATTTTGTTGTTCGGAACTTGTATTTAAGCAAGCTTATCTTGAAAATGTCGTAAGCGAAATTCAGGCATCTGCGAAATATTATGTGCTCTATGATGGCTACCACCACAACTTCGTATTAATGCATAAATAAGTACCTTACTATACAGCCTTGAGAGCTCTCGATTCATATGCCAACAGGGTGTACTATGAGAGTCTGGTTGTAGACCGTAGTAACCTTTCCACCTGGCCCAGATCTCTGACGGGAAACAGGCGTCGGACAAGAGTGCAAGGGAGTCGCTCAGTAACTGATCCAATCATATTCGGCCCTGGTCTTTACCATCTTCAGCCACCAAATATTTCGCGCGCCCCCTTAGCCGCGAGAACCTCGTCGGAGGATAGGCCCCCGGTGAAAAAAAAGAACGTATGAGTCCGCATATAGGAACCACGCTCTCATCTTTTTCTACTTCGAAGCAGACAAGTATTAAGCGGTAGGCATTTCTGAAGTCCATGGGCGACGGTAACTACTCACCATTAGGTGGGCCGTATGCTTGTCTGGCTAAAGGGGAATAAAAAAAAAAAAGCCTTATACTCGGCCTACTTCGACGATCTCTACTTTCGACCTTGTACCATTTGCGATGTTTTATTTAGGCCACGTATGCCGTCGCACTGCCAATCGGTGGGGCACAAAAGTAGTGGAGACCTCGTACTGGATGTTATAACGTGGGCACACAACCAACGCGGTGGACTAATGACCTGGTAAAAGGGGTTGGTAGGGACTGGATCCGAAAGACAAGAGACCGAAGAAAATGGGGTGCATTCGTAGATACCTACCCTCAGCATTGGCTGGACATGGGTTGAAGAAGAGATGGTATTTAGGGCTCCAACGTTTTCCATCTACAGCCATAAAAACGGTATTGCATGACTATTATACGTGAATACACTGAAGCATCTCTGCTAATTTGTTACATTAGGTTATAGTGTTTCATTAAAATTTGAAAGTCTCGAATTGAGTAGCATGCACGGGTATTATGTGTTTCTTAATAACAAGAATTACTATCCTTAATCCCCGAGAATGATTTTGGATTTATTTAAAAAATATTATCTTAAACTAGCTTTTGCCCGTGACTTCGTCCGCGTGGAATAGTTACTTTGGCGTATATCTACATAATAATATAGCGTAAGCTCTCAAAATGAAAAAGTACCCCGATTTTGAAACATTCTTTATTGGTGCTCGCTCCGCTTGGTCCTATTGGTACTATTGGTCTTAGCGTGATGTTATATAGCCTATAGCCTTCCTCAATAAATGGGCTATCTAACACTAAAATAATTTTTCAAATCGGACCAGTAGTTCCTGAGATTAGTGCGTTCAAACAAACAAACAAACAAACAAACTCTTTAGCTTTATAATATTAGTATAGATTTTCTTGTCGAAGCTGTGAGTACTTTTGTTACGTAATAGAACGATAGCTCGAAGAGATACTTAATAAAATATCTACCAATGAAAAATATAAGGCATTTCACTTTTATTTTTATTTGGACATACTTAAAAACTAAAAGATTTAAATGGCAAACGAAAAAATAGCTTAAAAGATACTAATGCCAATAACAATGTTCACACTTAAATGGAAGGATAGTTTCTCGTAAACACAGTCCTGTGGCCATGAGGTAGCATAGTAGTTCTTCCCC